TTCACTTGCCTTCGTGCGGTACAACCAGGTTTTCAACGCCGACCAAGTAGACCATTTAGCACGTTCAGTGGAGCCATGTTTCCAAAGGACAAAGGTGTCTTTCGGCTGTGCATACATTTCACGTTGAAAAAAGACAAATCCTCGCATTTGCACCATCATATTTTCAAAGCTTTTTAACTGGACACATGATAAAGTGTTAGACGCTACAAGCTGTCATATAATTATGCGCGTTACCTGGAATCTTCAGGGCCATATTTGAGCCAATCTGAGTTGGCTCATTTCATTCTTACATTTGACTCCCGTCTTCGAAAGGAGTCAGTAAGGTAAACACTACAGGGGAGAAAACAAAGCTATGAAATAATATTTTGTTGAATTCGCAGGATAATAGCTTCATGTCCGCTTGCCTTTTTATCTATGCAGACTGCTTGAAGCTTTAGTGACATTTATTTCACAAACACCTTGACAAGCTATCGTTTTGCAAACGCGTGTTATGCTAATGGATTCGTAGTTCGTGCATCAAAATTCATGTCGCGTGTAGAACTCCTGGACAGGTAGTTTAGCAAACACATTTATGTTGCGTGTAAAGCTCACAGATGAGCAGTTCGCGCCTCTAAATTAATGTTGCGTGTAAATCTCGTGAATGAGTAGTTCGTGACGTGCAATAAGCGTCACGGGTAATTCGCGTCGTTGGAGTTCTGTCGTCAGCAGTCTATAACAAATACCTTCCACACCGTTCGCGTCTCGTTCAGGCATGCTACCCGACCGCCTGCATCCTGTCCCGAACTCCGGTCGTCAGCGCTATGGCCCGAGCTCTGACCAGGCGCCCCGCGTGTGTAGGTGCTGGTCGAACTGGCGCCCTCTAAGGACTTCAGCGTGGACGGCGGTGCGCCACGCTCCCACGCGATCTGCGTGCGGGCGGACCGGCCGTCGGTGGTGGAGTTTCCGCTGCAGTTCAGCAGCCTGGGCGATGTGGACATCATGGCGACGGTGCGGGCGGGCGGCAACGCCTGCGGCAAGCCCAACACCGTGCAGGCCAGGTGAACTGCTCCCCGGTGCACGTCTGCCAGGCGGAACAGGTCACACCATGAAACAGCTGCTTCAGAGTGGAGAAAGTGCGGACGGACAGGCACTCACCCAATGTTAGCTAACCTCTAACACGTGCCCCAACGTGACACCATGTACGCCAATGGGAAGCTTCATCACCAAGTGTCACATACGAGAGGGAGGTTAGGTATCGTTCATCTGCAGAAGGTTGCAGTTGCTGCTGGCTTTGTCAGTGAAACCACCGATCTAAAATAAACGCTGCGTACCGACTTTCCTTCCAATCACTGCCAGGTGTCATGGTATCTAGACATATACGTATAGTTTATATATATATATATATATCAATACCACGCACGTAGGTGTCTACAGATTGTCACACACTCTATAACTCCCAGAATGCTGTGTATGTCTACCAATGCGTGATGGGAGGGTTATCCTCATGTAGCGGCTTTGCCGCATACCTCCGGTGCGGTGTCATCTGTTGATCCGTTCGGGTTTGCCATGGGTCGAGCATAATTTAGGGCGAGAGCTTACAACTCGATTCGCCCGCAGCCAAGCTTCCTCGGCGCAAGTACCCACCAAAGTACCCACGCAGCCCAGGTGTGCCGATGGTCGGGAAGTCCAGGGCGGTTAGGACACTCCGTGTTTTTGCAGTGACGCGCTGCGCCGCAGCTTGCTGGTGAAGCCTGAGGGCTTCCCGCAGGAGGAGGTGTCCACCGCCTTCGTTTGCCGGCCGAAGGGTACCCCAGCCGCCACAGTGGTGACGTTCCCGTTGCAACTGCTTCCCACGCTGGTGCGCGACTCGCAGCGCGCCTGGATCTCCGTCGTTGGCGACCTGCTCGCGCCGTCCTCCGCGGTGAGTGTTACCGGAACATTCGGGCGCGGTCGTTGGCTGCACAAGTGACGCGTAGGGGAAGGCCCTGCCATCTTTTTCATTCACCTGGTTTTTTGTGGATGTTGCGTTGGGAAGGAATTTATTACGTCACAGTATTCTGTATCAATACTTTGGTATATTTCATTTGCGTGGTATCCAGAGCGATACTATATGTATATGTATATATATATATATATATATATATATATATATATATATATATATATATATATATATATATCTAGGCCGTTGGCCAATTTTCATGAGCCATATTGTGATTGCCTGTTAACATTAGCAAACCTGTGTAGATGACATGAAACATGAGCTTTTGTAGACTGAAGACTCTTCACTTATATTCCAAACAAGGATATTAAACAACGCTTATTTATCAAAACAGCTTCCCAGGTTCGCAGCGCTTTATTTTTTTCGAGAATGTTTGGTGGGACTCTTCAAAAATGCTAAGATATTTTACGCGCCGTAAGTTTAAGAAAAACGCGTATCCGAACGGTTTGCACGCGCGTTTACATAAAAAGTGTCTTTCGCCCATCCTTTGCTAATGAAGGGTAGGTCCAATTGTTTTGTTTTGTTTTTTGTAGTTTTCCATTCAGAGAACGCAAACGATATCAAGTATATTGGCTTGTGTTCGTGGTATTTGCCCAATTCGTGTTCATCCCATAAAAACACTCCTTAATTTTGTGGGCACTGTAAACCCAAAGACAAAGATAAACCTTTTATGCAGAATTTGGAACGCTTGGTGCGAGTCCCGACTGGGTGCGGAGAGCAGAACATGATCGGCTTTGTTCCCAACATCTTCGTCCGGCGATACCTTGAGGAAGTCAAGCTGATCACAGATGCTCTTCGGATAAGAACTACGAATAACATGAGGACCGGTAAGCTGGTGGACAGCCAGAGCTGTGTCTGTCCATCATCATGCTGACGATGAGCGGGCAGATCTCATGTAACGCTGTGTTTGTGTGGAATGTACCAATATCCTGGACGGATTTCTCCGATTGGGACCAAGTTTGCATGATTGGGCTTATTCGCTTATAAGCTTTCCTGATTGCAAGAACGTCCCGATTCGGATGTAACCTTTAAATATGCACTTTGCCTTCGTTCCGTCGGAAGTGGCCTGTTCTCTTGTCACAAGTGGTCTGCCATTCGTGTGTACTTTCCAACATTGATGGCACGATCAGGTTGGTTAATCCCGTTGTAAGACCTGCGTCAGCTATCGAACACCGGTAAGCTGTGAGCTGCATCTCCAACCTTGTTTGCATCAATGCCCCCACCGTCGTGACGCTTGGCGATGTTGGCGCGCCACCAGCGGTCCGAGGGAGCCGCTCTTGGTGGTGTTGGCGCGCCACCAACGGTCCGACCGAGCCGCTCTTGGTGGTATTGGCGCGACACCAACGGTCCAACCGAGCCGCTCTTAGCGGTGTTGGCACGCCACCAGCGGTCCGACCGAGCCGCTCCTGCCCTCAGGCTATCAGCGCGAACTGCGCTTCCGGCGCCGTGAGGGCTCCTACTCCGCTTTCCCGGAGCGGACACCGAAGATCCGCGACGGCTCGCTCTGGCTGACTACGTACGTGGTGCGCTCGTACGCGGCCGCCAGCCGCTACATTGCCATCGATGCTAAAGACCTAGACATCAGCACGCGCTGGATCGCCGGCCGCCAGGAGGCGAGCGGCGAATTCAGGCCGCACGGCGCGCTCTTCCACCGTGAGATGCGCGGCGGCGTCGGCAGAGGCGGCAACGAGGCGCTCACGGCGTACGTGGTGCTGGCACTGATGGAGGCCGGCGGCCAGCAGGCGGCCGTCAACCGCGGCCTCGACTTCCTCGTCGAGACGTCCGTCTTCAACACGCTGTACGCCGAGGTGCTGGTGGCGCACGCGCTCGTGCAGGGTGGCAGGAGGGAGGGCGCTGTGCGCCTGGCCGCCCTGCTGAAGAAAGGCGTGCGCCGTGGCGGCCAGCTGCACTGGGAGGGCGACCGGTCCAGCGCACACGGCGGCAGTCGCGCCGTCGACGTGGAGATGACGTCATACATGGTGCTCTCGCTGCTGAAGCTCGGCGGTCGGACCAACCTGGGTGAGGCGGCGCTCGCCATCAAGTGGGTGAACGCGCAGCGCAACAGCGTCGGCGGCTTCGTGTCCACGCAGGACACTGTGGTGGCGCTGGCGGCCCTGACTGAGTTCGCCATCGCCACGTACTCACCCAAGATGTCGGTGGACGTGACGGCGTCCGCGCAGGGCGGCTTCTCGGAGCGAATCAGCGTCACCGCCAGCACGCGCCTTCTCACGCGACAGCGTAGGATCCCGGACCCCCTGAAGCTGCCCAACTCGGTCAAGTTCGAGGTGGCCGGCGAGGGGTGCGCCGTCGTGCAGGTTAGCTGACCGGGCGGCGCTGGTGGAACCGCTGAGAGAAAATCGAGTACATATCTTCACGGTCATGCCAATGGCGGTACACACAAGATTTTAGGCCTTCCATCTAGGTGTAGTGATCAATCCAGGTATCGGTTATTTTCATATGATCTCAGTCTTCATCCCTGGCTGAACCCAACTGTCAGCACCGGAAAAGCGTTTATCTAGCCTAAAGGGTCAACTCGTTGTCCCGTCGAAAACTGATGATTTCATGGCCACTTATGTCGCACTTCTGCAGAGCTAAAGCGCGTTTAATTTCGCTTTTGACACTTTTCTGTCATGAACACTCTTTTCTTTTTAGAGTCAGCGGCGAAGCATTCGGTGACCCAAACTGATAATCCTGATGATAGTAAGAGCCGTGTCGAATGTGTTGTAAGCCACCAAACCATTGCAGCGATGTGTCCGGAGCACCATCCTGATGGTGTCAATGATATCCTCTTTGTCACGTCCAGGAATGAGCGGTCCCTCACGCGCTGTGTTTTTTCGTAATCTCTACTTTTATTCCTTTGCAAGAAGTCGTATCGCGTAAGCGTCCGTAAACAACCCTACACCCATACACAATGGGAATCAATGGCAGATTTGTCTTCTCCATTTTATAGTCCTTGTTCCGGTACAACACCAGGATTGCTTTCGCTGACCCAAGCTTCAATCTGAAGGCCAACATCATCAAAAAGAGCAGCACATGTTCCACATTCACCTTGAGTAAGTTGTTTGCGGTGGTGCTTGGCTGACGATGGGACTCTGCATATGGCCACCTTTTCATTGGGCTTCATCTTCGAGGATAAGCCAAAAGTGATATCCTTGACATGACAGATGTTTATTAAATCTAGAAGACTTCATTGTGACTCGCTGCAGATTTCAACGTGTTAACAATTTTACAGGTGTGTTAAGCCACACTCAAGCGCGTACAAAGCATTCACACCGTAGAATTTCGCTTGGAAGTAAACCGTCTAACAACGTTTTTGACACAATTTCAGTGGGGAGGCAAAAGATTCAATATATCTGAGATTTTGGGACAGTATATATTCCCGTCAATTCTGCAATCATCGTCATGGAGCGCATGCTGCACAGCTCTGCAATCCTTTCTCACGGAACTTACTGTTTCAATATTTAGAGCTGAAGGTAATGACTTCATGGTGTTATACAGGTATCTGCGCAAGTTTCAAGAAACCCAATACTGAGAGCAACATGGCAATTATTGAGATCGAAATGATATCCGGGTTTGTGACGGTGGACAAATCTCTGAGAGATGTCGAGAAAGAAGGAGGTAAGTCTATGCGTGGTATTCTTTTAATATAAATGGGTTATTGATATGCATTTAAGTTTTAGATTCCATTTCAATCCAACGTGAACAAAAACACGAAAAATAGCGTATTTGTTCAATTTAAGCGCCGTGCTTTATGCTACGTGGTGGCTGCGTAATTACAGCAATCCTTATTATCATTCTTGTGGGCAGTGACTCTGCCACACGAGCAGTTTCAACAATGGGGGGGACCCTCGCCCTCCCCCCCCCCCTCCGGCACCTCTACCAGCCACACACCAGGAAATTGGTGGGCACTGTAGAATCTTAACAGGGCAATGTGGAATTCTGACAGCGCCATGCAAAATAACACGTGCCAGCCAGTGCCAGTGTACACGTCCTCGTCGGGGGAGCCCCGATGCACCGGCAAAGCCTCGCTGTCCTATGACGAGGCTTGAGGCTGTGCTTACAGCTACACGCCGTTTCGAATGCGGCCCTTATTCATGTCATCTTACGAGCGTTGTACAAGAGCGTAACACAAGCATCATCATGACAATTGAACGTGTAAATTGCGCTTTTAAGCACAGATAAGACGGTTGCAATAGCCTTATTCCTCGTACAAAAACCAGTAGAATGGAGAGAAGATGAGTTGATATTCCGGCAAAATGCCTTTTTAAAAAAGGTGTCAGAAGTAAGTTCAAAACTGCCTGCCGATGATCCTGCTCGATTTTCACGTTTTTTTTTTTTAAACAGCGAGCCACGGTTTTTACAGAACACTAGCATTCAGGGGATGAGGCAATGAGCAGTTACCAGTCATTAACGCCATGCAGCGATTACAGCACATAATAAACAAATAGAACACGCGAGAAAAATACGTGAAATTGCAAACGAATTCAGGTAAGTAGGCATCATGCATCATGTTTCATTCAAACATGCAAGGGAGCTCATCTAAACAGGCATCACGCATCACACATCAATTATACATGCAAAAAAAACTCAATTGAGCAAGCATCGCGCATCACTCGTCGAGCATCACTTATGCATGTAAACGATTTTAAGTTAGCACACACCACACATCATGGCACATCTCACGTTTGCATATTCGGCCATGATGAGCCCTGTACGTTAAGGTTTGGACTCCGTACCCCCTTTACAGCTAAGCCATCTACAGAGCACAGGGCCATCCAGACGGGGAAATAAGTAAATCCATTCTTATAAATAGTCGGCGACCAAACCTTAACGTGCAGGGCTCACAATGGCCGATTATGCAGACTTCATGTATGCCTTGATGTGTAACATGTGCTGGTCTAAAATAGTTTATATACATGTATATATATGTATATATATACACATATATATATATATATATATATATATATATATATATATATATATACAAGTGATGCCTGATGCGTGATACGCCATGCCTGTTTTATTGAAATCGCTTGCATGTGAAATTGATGCGTGATTTGTTATACCTGTTTTCTTGAGCTCGTTTGTAAATTTGAATGAAGCGTAATACGTGATGCCTGTTTGCTTGGATTCGATTACATATACATGCATTCTTCTCGTAATTTAATTTTTCGTTAGATATGAGCATTTTTACAATTCAGCAGGTAACATGTTCGTCAGAGTCACATATCACGCTCGTGACTGGCACTTTACCCCATCATTGTCTAACAGCCTGCCAGATTTGCATTGGTACTGCGCTCACCAACCACTTCCGAGAACTGAAACGCGGGATATTTAAAGGGCCTGTGTGATTTCTCAGATCACCAGCGTCCGACTGACGCGCTGTTCGCATGTCCACTGCTGTAACCATCCAAACACGGAGCGGTACCCTGGTGATGCGATGGGACTCGCAATGAAACTGCAGGCTTCGGTGGCGCGCTCATCCAGCTTCGATCATTGTATTTGCAGTGATCCAGCGGTGGGAGTTCAAGGAAGGCAAGGCCAGCCTCTACTTCGACGAGTTCACCACCACCGAGGTGTGCTTCAGCGTGCGCTTCACGCAGGTCGTGGCCGTGGAAAAACTGAAGCCCGCTGTCGTTAGAATCTACGACTACTACGCCGTGGAGGACAGATTCGAAGTGGTGCGTTTTGCCCAACCCCGACAAGTGCTTGACATCGAGCTGACCTCTTATGTCCGGTAACAATGGACGCCGAGCAGCTGCACGGCTGCGCTTGCTTGACACTTTGCAACGCTTGTGACATTGGCAGCTGCCAGGCTTGGAAA